TAAACACATTTGCTTCTCAAAATATCCAAATGGTTTAATATGATTTAACTGCTTTTCAAAATGTTGTATTCAAACAGAAAGTTTACACGATTTCTAAACATCACTTGTAATTTGGGAGATGAAACTCCCTTGCTGTTCTCCTGGGGACTAAATGGCATCATAGAATGTGATCATCTGTTTAGTAGTTGAGCAAATGTAAAATAAAATAATTGTCGAAAACAGTATAACAAGATTGGTTATGTCTGTTCTATGATGTGGTTTAATACTTTGAGGGGAAGGAAGTAAGTTCAGTCCTAGTCAGTACAGGGATGGGGGAACTCCAAGGAAAACTAGGCTGCTGTTATAGGTGGTGTTGATGGACCAGAGATCTTAAACCAAGGTTTCCACTGGATCCGTTGTATACTGGGGCTACTGTGCATCACCCAGATGTGTGGGTATTTTAGTGGTAGATGAAGTGGATCAGACTGTATATGTACACTGCTTTTGGATACAATGCAACATTTAAATGTAAAGAATTATTAATCATAATTACTACTGAAACTCTGAGATGACATGCAGATGCTTACATTTCTGAATTGTTTTAATAACTCCCAAGAATTCCCCAGAATACAACGTTTTGAAAAGTGGTTAAATCATCTGATGATTATATTTAATAGTGTATTGATACTGTAAATGAGTAATAGAAGTAATATATTCTCTGTAAATATAATAATTTATTTTCAAGGTTATGAAGTGCAATAATCAGATTGTTCTAGTCAGTAATTTATTATTGTCCCTCACCTAGAAACATATAGCTCCTAGAAACCAGCTATAAAGTGACATAACACTGTGATGTGATCTTTAATTTAACCGGATCAACTGTGGATTGTGCATTGTGAAGTACAAAAAAGCCTCATATTCATGTTCCAGTTATCATCAGAGAACTTCCAGATTTACCTATTAATAATAAAAAAAACTTTACAGTTATGTGTAATAGTGCTGTGCCATAGTACGCACAGTACGCTCACCACACATCAGCTGTCAGTGGGGAGGAGAGCAGAGTGATGAAGATAATTCATAGATTATTAAGAGGCCTTGATGGGTAAAGGCCAATGGGAAATTTGGGCAGGATGCCAGGGTGACACCACTATATGTTTAGAGAAACACCCTGGAATTTTTAATGACCACAGAGAGTCTTCCAGCAACAACCTTAGTTTTTCCCAGTTGGTCTCCAGTCCAGGTACTGACCAGTCTCACACCTGCTGAGCTTCAGTGGGTTGCCAGTTGTGAGTTACAGGATGATATGGCTGCTGGTTACATCTTACCGTACTTTATTTTGTAATTATTTTGGAGCGAAGCAATGCTGCATATTTGTTATTTTAAAATAAATGGATTTAAAATAACAGATTTGTTGGCCGACTGTATTTGGACAGGAACTCACAACATGAGGGAAAAAATAATTAATAATTTATTTGTTGCTAGGAAAGCTGTTCAGACAAAGGGTGGTTAAAAAATAGGAGTTTTGCTTTGAAGTCATAAAAAATGACATCACCTATTGTGACAGTGTCAGTCACTATGTCCACCGATGACACACCAACATGGAGGCAGGGAAGACAATGAACATGGCCCACAGAGTGTTTTATTTACTGTTATTGGAGAGAGAGAAACCAGGATTTTTGGTATATAATAATAGGGGAAAATAGGAAAGTCTTCTTTGCTGTTCTATAGCTTCATAACAAACAGCGAAAGAAGCTAAAAATAATGTTAAATAAAACCAACAAACAGGGAACCCAATCCAGGTTAGCTTTAAGTCTCTGAGGTTGTGTGGTAGCCCCTTTTCAATACAGCTTTTCAGCTCTTCTCATGTTCTGTCTCTCTCTACACTTCTCTCGTGAGGGTCACACAGTTGAGTTCATCCGTCTGGTCTGAATTGGCTGTAGATCTACCCCCCTGCTAATACACCACACCCTGCTGATACAGCTACAGTATAAATCAAAGCGTCTTATTCCAGTAAAGTATTAAGATATTTAATCACTGTTTTTTCTGATTATTCTGTGTTTTTTTTCCCATATTTATATTGTTCCTTAGCAAAAGCAGCTTCAACAATGATTATGTGAATTTGGGTATTCTGTAATACCTGTATTAAGTACATAATAATAAACCAGTGGACTTCTGTAGCATGGCACTGCACTATTGAAATATCGCATTTCTCTACTAATATTTAAAAAAAACTTTTTTAATCATGGCCAAAGACCCTTTAAGAAGGAACAAGTCTTAAGCCAAACACATTTTTGACAACACAGAAATACAGAATATTTGAATTCAC